CTTCTCGGTCCAGATTTTTGTCGTTTAAGATGTTGTTGCTGACGTTGAGAGAGACGATCGTCGTCGAGGATATCACGTCGAGAAGATTCGTTATCGCTCTCGCTAGAGCTCAGATATCTGTAATATGAATTGCTATCCTTTCTTGATCTTTCTTTGGTGTTACGATCGGACGAATTCTTAGCGAGAAAATTAATAAATTGACTGCTAGTAAAATAATTTTCTGTTGTAACGATAGGAGACGTCGTATTATTTTTCCAAATGGTTCTTCTACCGAGTAAACCACGATTCCTCAATTCCTCGGAAAATAATTTGTCCTCGTTGAAATCGCTGATTTTTGGCGCTGGACATACCGAGGAGGAAGATGACGTAACCGAGAAAGAACCTAACGACGAAGAAACGAGAGAATTGAATGCCTCGTCTCTTCTCTCATTAAAATCCCCAGAGAGTAATAATTTTTGATCGTCGAATTGATCATCCGACAAATTCGACGAATAATAATCGTCGTATTTTTCGAGTATCAATGCTCCTGCTCTTGCTCCTGCTTCATCCTCCCGATTCTCCTCCTCCTCAGGAAAATAACGAATCTCTCGCCAAACTCGTCTCTGACGTCTCGAACGTCTCCTTTCCGGTGGCACGAACCATACCGGACTGTTCTCCCGAACAGCCGACTGTTGATCATTCTTTTTCTTTGTCCTTTGAGATGTCCTCTGGGAGGTTGTACGCTGCGACGACGTCGTCCTCTTTCCACGTCTTCTCGAACTCGATCTCCTTTGACCGCTGGTCCTCTTGAAATAACCTTCGGTACTGACGCTCGGTGATGGCTTAGACGTTTTTCGTCGGAAGAATCCATTCCTCGTGCTTCTAAAGCCAGGAACACCCATTGATTTCGCGCGCGATATCGTCAAATAATCGTGCCGATTGAAATTATGGAAAACAATAACATATAAGTACTTATATATTATAAGTACTTACCTATATATCTTTAATTGTTAATTATAGATAATAACATTTTTTGAGATTTTTTTTCTTTTTTTTTTTTTTCTTTTTAAATCAATAAGCAATCAACTATATCGTAACTTAAATAGATTAAATTTAATTTAGTGATTTGCCATTTAAAATTTGCTGTTTTCCAAACTTCGATCGAGTTCGTGTTAGATTAGTTAGTTGTTAAATTTAAAAAATATCCGAAGAATAATAACCCTGCCCTGAAGTCAGCCAGCTTGCCGATCCTAAGCGAGAAGCCAAACGAGGACGAGGATGATGTGTTGTCCTTGATGATTGTCTTTTCCGGGGCCGAGACGGTTCTAGCGACCGTCGGTTGTGAAGGTTTTCGTTCTTTCAATGCACTGTCCAACGAATGATGAACGGAGGGCCCGGAAGAGGAAGGATATGGTACCGGTACGGCGTCCCTCCAAACTCGTCCAAGACTGATACTGACACTGGGCGGTCCAGTTTCAAGGGGTACACACGCGCTTTCACGCGTTTGTCCAAGATTATCGTTATGATGAACATTTTTTTCAGAATAAATCCAATCGTCCTCGTCGTGCGTATTTGGACCGAACGGTTTCAATGACAAAATCGCTGAGTTTAAGTCGTTGGTTAGATCATTGCTAGAGCGACGATCTTGAATTTGTTGTCTCGTCGTAACCTTCGACGAAACTTTACTCGTCGCCTCTTGGACCAATATTTTCTCTTGAAGTTTATCACGGGAGGAGGAGCCAACGCCTTGCAACCATTCGTCATAACTGATAGATTCACGGCTAAGCGATACGTTTTCCTGTTGTCTCCTAACCTCCTGTTCCTCCTTGATCTTGATCCTCGTAGACTGTACATTTTCCTGTTGGTCCGGCACGCTCGTAGTGGCCGGTGCTGACACTACAACCACCGGTTGAGCCGTTATCACCGGTTCAAGATTCTTTTGCAACTTGTTACGTCGTTTACCACGATCGAGATAACTTTTCCTTATAGATATCCTTTTAAACGACTCGCTACGTTTGAAGGATGGCTCGTTTCTATCCTTCTTGCGGCTCACGAGCCTCCTAAGGTTCTCGAAGGAGAGTGGCCTCATGGGTTGCGTCTATTTCCTACCCAAAGATCAACACGTCCTCGCGGAGTTCTATTATCGAACACCGATCTTCCCCCTTCGACTATCGGCATCCCTTTGGACAAGAGACGTTACTTGCCCCAAGCACAACGAGTCCTTCTTCTTCTTCTTCTTCTTCTTCTTCCTTCTTCCTACTCGTCCTCGTCTTCGACGTCCTCCTCCTCCTCCTCCTCTTCTTCTTCTTCTTCTTTACTTCGTCCTTTTCTCCAACCTCTTCCCCTCCTCTTTCCTTTGGATACCCTTCTCAACGCTCGTACACACAGCGTTTCTGCGATCCTAAGGTGCAACGCCGAGGTCTTCCAGTCGCGAATCACCGTGGCTTTCCTTTTTCGATTCCGTGCCTCGCCTCCTCCTTCTTCTTCCTTCTCTCTCGATCAAAATCATTCTTCGTACGAACTTCTCCCGAAAAATCATGAAAATCCTTTATTTATTATTCTCTAATTCCTCGCCCTTGTTTTTCTTTTTACGATTAACTTTATTATTATTACTTTATTTATTTATTATTATTATTATTATTATCATTATTACTATTATTATTATTATTATTATTATTATCATTCACTTTTTCTTTCACAAAAGCGACACGAGGAATCTATTCCTTCAGTTACGATCTCTTTACTATTCCTTCTGTAAGATGCTTCCTCATCTTCTTACGCTTTCTCGAAACGAATTCAATGAGGCACACCAGACTCTTTCCAAAGTGGACACACGAAAGTACGATATTTTCAAGTAGAGTATATGAGGAGCGTGGGTTCTTGTGCGCGCGCAATCACACACATACACACACGCACGCACACACATATGTATACACTGATACACTGAAAGAAAAAGAAAGAGAAAGAAAAAGAGAGAGCGAGAGAGAGAGAGAGAGAGAGAGAGAGAGAGAGAAAGAGAGAGAGAGAAAACGATAAGCTTCACCAAGCAAGTTTCACAGCGTCGTCGTCGTCGTCGTCGTCGTCGTCGTCGTCGTCGACAACGTAAGAGATACACAACGATTTCTTAGCTTTTCACTGTGCCAACTTGGAGAACACGATACGCGCACTTGAAGTCGCATCGAATCACTGGCATTTCGCGAGCTCTAACGCGATGCACCTCTCCTCGTACAGCGTATAACGAGAAGTAAGAAGCGCTCTTGAGTTAGAGAAAGAGAGATAGAGAGAGAGAGAGAGAGAGAGAGAGAGAGAGAGAAAGAGAGAGAGAGAGAGAGAGAGAGAGTAACACACTATAGGAAGGCGGCCCCCGTGAATAAGTCACGATCGTACGAGAGAGAGAGAGAGAGCGAGAGAAAGAAAGAGAGATGGAGAAAGAGAAGGAAAAGGACAGAGACAGAGAGAGATAGATAGATAGGTAGAAAGAGAAAGAGAGAGAGAGAGAGAGAGAGAGAAAGAGAATGGAAGAGGCAAGGAGTGTTGCTGCTGCTGCTGCTGCTGTTGCTGCTGCTAGTGGTGATGGTGATGGTGGTGATGGTGGTGGTGGCTGGTTGTACTTATGGTGGTGGTAGTGGTGGTGGTATGCGGTCCGTCCACTCTCGCCCGCCGACTACTCTCTTGCACCTCGCAGCATCCCCACCCCCCCACTCCCCCTACTACGGCCCGTTCCTTCTATTCGTACTGGAGTGTGGGTCTTATTCTCTCTCTCTCTCTTCCTCCCTCTCCCTCTCTTTCTCCTTCTCTTCCACTCCTAGTTTATAGGATCTCTCTTTCTCTCTCCTTCTTTCCATCCATCCATCCTTCCTTCCTTCCTTCCTTCCTTCCTTCCTTCCTTCCTTCCTTCCTTCCTTCTTTCCTTCTTTCTTTCTTTCTTTCTTTCTTTCTTTCTCCTTGACTTTCGACTCTTTTCTCTTTTCCAGTCTTGGTCCTCCTTCTTTTCTTTTCTCTTCTTCTTCTTCTTCTTCTTTTTCTTCTTTTTCTTCTTTTTCTTCTACTACTACTTCTTTCTCTTTTCATTCTGTCTCCACTCATACAAATTACAAGCTTTTTCTCCGTTCGACTTCAAGAAATCAGCTTAAAAAGTAACTCTCTCTCTCTCTCTCTCTCTCTCTCTCTCTCTCTCTCGCTCTCTCCCTCCTCCATCTCTTTATCTATCTATCTATGTACCTATTCATCCATCTCTTTTTCTACCTATAGATATAATTCTTTTGCCGATTGTTTCTTTCTTTCATTTATGATGTTATTAAAAATTATTTTCATGTTATTCTTTAAAGGTAATAAATAAAATAATCATGTTAGGATAGGAAAAATTGCAAGAGTAATTATATTATTAGGATACACAATGTTTTCCATGGATAACGAAAATATATTATGATTATTAATCCAATTCAGAAATAAGAGAGGGGGAAAAGATTTAACTGCGAACGAATGACTCTTTTCTTCTCTCGTAGAAAATTTCAACGAAAATTAGCCTTTAACTTAGACCGACAATACTTCTCAACGCCCAAGCTTCTAAACCTTTTTACTCTTGGGTTCTTATATTGCTATGGCTTTGAACAGCTTTGAACACTTTTGCCGTCGTTATCGCTTCCTTATTCCACAAGGAACGCGATGTTACCTCTTCTTACGACTTCCGTTTAACTTCGAAAGAAAAGTAGAAAGGGAGAGGGAGAGAGAGAGAGAGAGAGAGAGAGAGAGAGAGAGAGAGAGAGAGAGAGAGAGAGAGAGAGAGAGAGAGAGAGAAATAAAGACAGACTCAACTTTTATAGAACCGTTAGTCTTGACGCGCTGGAGTAAGGGCAGAAAAGAAAAAAGGAAAAGAAAAAGGACAAAAAAAAAAGAAGAAGAAAGAAAAGAAAAAAAGAATACTGTTTGTTTCCTACAAAGTTTCATGAAAATATCTAACAATTTTTATACTTCTAATTGTTCTTAATTCTCTTTTATATGACAATCAATGATAATTCGTTGAGACTTTATAAAAAGAAAAAATCTTTTTTTTTTTTTTTTTTTTTTTTTTTTTTTTTTTTTTTTTTTTTTTTTTTTTTTTTTTGTAATAATACATTCGTCAATTAATTGTTCAAATATTTTGACGAGTTAAAAAAGAAAAAAAGAAAAAAAGAAAAGGTAAAAAGTGAAGGAAAAAAACAGAACCTAATAATTCGATACTTTTCATGAAACTTTTACTAATAAAACGATTATTTATCCTATAATAATAATAATTACAATAATAATAATAATAATAATAATAATAATAATAATAATAATAAATAATAATAATAATTAATAAAAATAATTATTAATGATTTTCTTTTTCTTTTTCTTTTCCCTTAATGATATATATCCGTCTTACGGAAAGATTCATTCTTGTAAATTTCGAATACATCATTGTATACTCCTTCTTCGTTATTTTCCACGAATAAGATTGCCCTCGCCCACGTTCAATCGTCTCTCGCGAGAAGTCAGACACTCCGAACGCGATTACTCGAAGTAGGCGGTACGTAATGGCCATCGAGGAAAGTCGAGTTTCGACAGAGCACAGATTCCATGGAACAAAGCTCTCACAACCAGAGCCCACGGTCAGGCTCGCTTACGGCGATAGTTTCGATCCCGTGTCGTCGTGCCATTGCTTGAACCTTTCTTTTTCTTTTCTTTTACTTTTTAAAATGCGTTTCCTTATCGGTTCTTACGAAGCTATAAGTCACGTAATAAACGTGAAAAACATTGAATAATTCCCGACATTGAAATAATTCCCTTTTTATTAAATGATCGTATCGTAAAAAAAAAAAAAAAAAAAAAAAAAAAAAAAGAAGAAAAGAAAAAAAAATTCATACGAATTAAGATTTAAAATGATTTTTCTTTTTGATATCTTGTATTTCTACAGATGAAGCTTTATTCTTTACGAAATAAGAATCGATTGTTCAACAAAGAATTAATTGATCACGCATTGTGATCATCGTTTACGTATCGACACGATACGACACGATATACTTATGGAATTATAAATACGTATGGTAAAACGTATGAAAAATCATGTTACAATTTTTCGAGGGTCATATTTTTTCGTGGGTTTTTTTTTTCCTTTCCTTTTCCCTTTATCGTTTTTCTTCTTTGATAGGTACTATAAAATTAATTCGCAGTAATGATCCTCTCTAATTGTTTTTAACTATTAATATATATATATATATATATATATATATATATGTATATATTATAGACACAGTATATATTAATTTTTATTGATACTTAAGCACATAAAAAAATTCATAAAGGAAAATTTTTCCATATTTCAATATACCAAATTTTCGAACACGATAAGACATCTTATCTGAAAACATTTACATTAAACTTAAAAGATATATTTCCTTAGCGCTCAAAGATTTCTCGATATCTCCTAACATGGCCTATAATCATTGAGCAAACCCGTTATCGTATCGGGCCATAATGATTTACATTCGATTTACAAAAAAAAGGAAAAAAAAAAAAAAAAAAAAAAAAAGAAAAAAAAGAAAAAAAAGAAAAGAGAAAATAAAAAAAAAAGACAATATTCGATATTATCGAATGAAAGTTTAGAAAGTTTCCAAAAATGTATATATATATATATATATATATATATATATATATATATATATATATATTATCATACGTATGGTTATAACATTTTAATAGAGAATAATTTCACAATCATGTATATAATTTAAGGTAGTTAAACGAAATTAGTAAAATTTTTTTTTTAATGGTGTCGACGGTAAACTTAAAAGGTAAGCTTCCTTCGGACGATCGGTGACGAAGAGGGATGGGGGTGGAGAGAAGAGGGAGGGGAAAAAAGAGAGATTGAGAACGAGGAGGTTCGTAGGGAGGAGAAAGAGGAGGTTATTAATTCGAGCGTGCGAGTCTCTTGATCGAGACTCAGCTCGTCGAGCACGCAACCCTCTTAGGAAAGCTCGACTCCTGGGTCGAGGCTATCGAGTACATTCCTCTGGTATTCTCGAGGAGACTTTGTAAGGGCGACCTAAGTATATACATATAAATAAATGCATACCTACATACATAAATACGTAAGTACGTACGTACAATGCATACATTCATTCATCCATACGTACGTACATATACAGTGAAGAGTTGAAGAGGAGTTGGAGAAAAAGGTGATGGTGAGAATTAGTGAAAAAATATTTGTACAATAAACTATGTATTTCTATATTTCTATTGTACGAATAATTCTTCTAATCCCTTCGATCTAGCCACACCCCTCTCCCCGCCCCGCCCCGCCCCGCCCACCCGTTGTACACAAGTATATACAATAAATATATACATTGATGGGATATATTAATATATGTATCACCAAGCTATTGATAAGAAAAAGAAAAGAAAAGAAAAGAAAAGAAAAGAAAAGAAAAGAAAAGAAAGAAAAAGTTAGAGAGATGGAGAGAAAGAGATAGAAAGAGAGAATGGTATAGAGGGACGATTGGA